TTTATGTATATATATTTATATAAATACAGATATTTTCTACATAAACTTTGTGCAATTTCCCAACATGCAGGTGTAGTTTTTTAAGTCAAAAAATTCTCCTTCGCTAACTCAAATTCTGCCACAGTACTGGTATGAAAATTCTTTACTTGGATTACACAGAGTAATGTCCACACAGATATAGCTGCTGTACTTTCATGTTATTACAATTAAATGTGCTGGTTATCATAACCCCCCCACTATATACTTAAAAAAATATTAAATAAAAAACCCATAATGCAGATCAAATATACTCTAAACGTGGCTGGTTTAGAGACAAGCCAGTGAAACACAGCAGTGTGTAGAGAGCAAAGCCTGTAGAAACTGGGCACATTATGGAAAGAAAGAACTCAGTCACCCGTGCAGAATTACCCCTGTTGGCCATCTGAGAACTGACAATGAAGTCAACTGTAAAGGCAGCTGAGACCAGCAGACTTCACCTAATTAGAATATTGGGGGAGAGGCTTAAAAAAATAATCAACGTATATATACGCATATACAGATATTTAGCAAAAACCTACTACTTCAGATTTACTAACCATTTCTAGACATAACTACATACCTGTATCTGAGCTGCCCACTTCTTTAAAGCCATTATAAATTTATTTTCTCTGTATTTGCACATTTGTCCTAGTACACACAGATAAAGCAGGAAATGTGTTCTCCTGAAGTGAGCAGAAAGTTAACACCACTATACAGAAAATGCAGATAAATTCTTGTGAATGAATATTTATTTATAAAATATACCTTCACTTCCTGTAACCCCTGTAAAATATGAATACAAAGACAGCCAGAAAAGTACTTATGCTTAGTCCTAACCTAGGTCCAAACACCATTCTTTCACTGAATGTAAAGATTAAAGGCGAACTTCAACGTTACTGTCATATTATTAAATTAATGTGACAGCAGACTATTATGATAGCAGTATTTTTCAGAGCATGGCACTTTTTAATTGTTTTCTTCATCTTTTTTTCATTAATACGCAAAGAATGTTGGATAACGATATCCTCATAATACTCAGATTAAAGACTCAGCCTATTTATGCCAGAAATTTAAAATTTAAGGGGGATCAGGGCGTAAACACCGATCATACTTTCCCTGTCCCTGGTTCAGTGCATACAGCTTGGTTACTTGTGATGGAGCTCGACTGCTGTTCAACTAGAACCACCACTGGAAAATGCTGACAAAAGGCAACTGTGCTGCTCGTTAGCACATTTACAGGAGTACAAAACATTCAAGGCTCGAATTCTCTCTGCTTTACTTGGCTATATCAGCAGTCTTGAGTGTAGGAATAGGGACATAGCAAGCATCTCAGCAAGTTCCCCCAAATTTTTATTAGTTGCTTTCCTGTCTTCCGACAGCTACAGCTGTACTTCAGGACAACAGAAACGGTTTTGTGATCTCCTGGACATGGAATATAGATGACCAGTCAGTGCTGAGGCTTCTCCTTCTACTGATTTTGAAATCTGCCTCGGCACTCAAGGATTCCCACAGGATATCAGGTTTTGTCAGTGCTGCTGGTAACATGTAGAACCCAGTGGAAGCCAAGGGAACTGTACTGAGGCTTTTATTTACTGACGTCATTGCAATTACTTATAAACACTAAAGCTGGAAACAAATTCAGATTTTACCAGCTCCTTCACCTACAGCAACCAGGTTTTGAAGGTACATTTAAAATTCTGAAAATTGATGCAGAATTTGGGTCTCCTTAAAAAGGAAAAACGGGCTGCAAGATCTCATTTAGAAACACATCATACAGGCAGTGAGGCTTGTAAGACTGTGGCTTTGACTATTCTTAAAAAAAAGAGCTTCAGAGAAAAAAATGGAGGGACTGGAGGAAAGGCAAAAAAGTCATACTGAAGTATGGAATGCATTAAAAAAGCTGGATCTCTGACAACAAAAATGTATCCCTGTGGGGTTTGGTTTTGGTTTTTTACTATTTTTTTTTTTTTTAAGTATGAAGACACTTTGCACTGATAAACCCTATTTTAACACAACAAAGAGATGTATTCCGGTTTAACCTTCCAGAATGCTTTACAAATTTACATAAGTAACTGAAAAAAACCAACACAAGACTTTACCCCTTAAATCTGCAGCAACACTTCTTTTTCGTTATTATACTATCTAAACAGTTGGGATAAGGATGTTTCCCATTAAAATTTGACCATCACTTTTTACCAGTCTCTTATGTATTCATAAATGCTGTTAAAAAATTAAAACTCATTTACAAATAAACAAGGAAACAACAAAAAGCATAGAATCAATCACATCTTAAATGTGCTATCTGGAAGCGTATAACAATAAACTATTTATGACATATCCAGAAGGATGCAGTAATAAATTATTTCTTTTTTATTCTTATTTAATATTGCAATCTTTCACTTTGCTCTAATAATGCTTACTTAATAAGCAATACTCATTAAGGAATTTGTAATTTTAAGGTAAGTTCAGAAAAAAATGGTTTTTTTAATATTAATTTTTATAATTATTTTTAAAGGCCTACTTGTTTAGAGGATTTCAGATCAAGTGTGTATCAATTTAAGGACTCTGACACTTCAGCGTCCTTGTGGAGCTGTCACTATGTTATTTAGGAGCACAAGTACTAACAGAAGCTCTGAGTCATTCAGGCTGTGATTCCACTGTGTATTTCTCGTCTCGGCAAAGCTGACTTAAGCAGTTCCTGCCACTATCTCCATATCTTAGAGCTCATTTGTTCTCTTCACCTTGCCCTGAGCCCTTCATTTCAATCTTTTGTTTGTGCCAATACAAAGGTTTGTCAGGCTCCAGGTGAACCAGACTGGAGAAGTTATTTATATTTTAAACAGCTATACAAACCCTCCTCTCAGGGTCTGGCAGAGAGATTTCTAATTTGGAGGATGTCCCTGACCAGAAAAAACACACTTTGTGCCAAACAGACAGGGTGATATTAAGTTGCCTACAAGCAACTGGGGTGAAGAACAGGGAAGAGCAGAAAACCATTTAGGTCAGCTTTACTTCCAAGATAAACATTTGTAAACTGCCATCTTGGCTATTTCTCTTGGGTACAATTCACTGGTTTCAAAGCTGCCGTGCTAACCAACCGCTCTCTGGTATGCTGAAGACTGAGGATGACAACCTCACTGCAGGTTCCAAACTAGGAAATTCACTGCCTTTGAGAGGAGCCTTGCTGGCAAGACCTCGTGATCTGGGAGGAGTGTCCCACCAGAGGTAGATTTGAAGAGCAGGGCTGGGCAGCAGGATGCAGCAGCAGGTACCCCAAGGTACAGCAGTTGAGATGAAAGGAGTCACTCTGCTGCTGAAACCTCCTACACAACTTTGACCACATGACTGCCTCCAAGACAGCCAAAGTTAACTGTTTATGCCACAATCACCAGCTTGTCTCCACAGACCTGTGAACGCCGAGGAGCTTTCCTCTTGCTGGATCAGTGGCTCAAGAATTCTAAGTTTCACATGACAAGAGTTCAAGAAAGTTCCATTTCCACTTAGATAGTGTAATGAGTAAACATATCTACAAAGATACTAACATATAAATTTTCACTGACCACCAACCTAGCCTCCAAGTAAGATTTCAAATTGAAAATTTTTCTTTAAAATCTGACCTCTGTCATTTTCTTATTCTCTCACTAAGGACTATCACTTTTCTTCTTTTCTCAGGTAACAGCTACATAGTAAAGCAAAATGTAGTCTCAAGGATAGTAAAATTTCTTTCAAAACTACTCTGCCTCTTGGTTCTCCAGGACTAATGAGGAATATATGATGGAGGCTGCCAAAACAAGTGTTCACTTCTCAGATGTAGAGTCATAAATGTCTGCAGAAATGCATCCTGACACCAAGGATTATTACAGGTATTTTTAAAACAGCTGCTTATAGTTAGAAACCATTACGTAGTTCTTTGTTGCATGCAGTGAAGGGCATTTAGAGGCACAACTGTAACACATTGAAACTCTAATATTTGGGGAGGATAGCAGGGGAAAAAGAATAAAAGGAGAAAAGGTTACTCTTGAGTACTGCAGGAACTTACTGGTCCTTTAGCCAGTCGTTAACAAAAGGAATGGAAAAGAATTCCGTGAATGGCTCATCTTTCCTCTTTGGGTTCTTGCTGATAACAAAAAAACAATAGAAAACAATGCATATTAAATTTCACCTACTCTATTTGTAAATTAATGTCTTTGAATCACTGAACATAATAGTAAAAGCCACAATTAACTTACTTGTATAGCCACTCAGTCAGGAAATCACAGGCAATAAATTTGGTCCTTTTCCTCTAAAGATAGAAGATAGTTTCAAATTATTTATTATCTTTGGATTGGTCACATGTTTTCAAAACTGGAGAGGAACAGAAGCTAAATTGACTGGTTTTATTAAATAAAATATTCAGTACGTTATTCTGTCTACTTTAATATTGCTACTGCCAACAGCCAGTGGCTCAGCCAAAATTGTATAAATTTTGTGGAATGCTTTCAAGTCAAGTGAAAAAATGAGTGAGAAAATTTTACATGTACTATCTTGATACTTGCAGCACAGCTATAACCAATACCTCTGAATGGTGTGCTTTCTAAATGGCAATCTCATTGCAAAGAAATTAACAGAACACACATATGAAAATATGTTGTTAATTACTTGTCATTTTGTCGAAGTTCTATTATCGTATTTAAAATACTTCATTACTTCCAGGGCACAGAAGGAACATTGACGGAATATTGTTTCCTCTTGCATGGAAGCTGCTTGAAGGCATTGTGAATAGTTAGAAAAACATACACAGCAGAGTATTGTATGACTGCTCAGATGAAATTGTCTGTTGGCTAGTCCAGAAAGAAAGGCAGAAACAAGGCATATGTATATCCACAATCACAGGTACCATGGGCATTACAGAGGATCAGGTAAAAAGTTCAAAACCTGGAGCTTCAGAGCAAAACAGTTGTGCCCTTTGCACCCAGTTCTATGACTTCTTCATCAGCAAAGAGAATTGTGCAAAATGCTTTGCAGTGGGTTATCTGTCGTGACTCGTGCAGCCAGCAGCTGTCTAGCTGGGCAAAGCTGCAGGCATGTTTCAAGTTCAAAATTCAGAGGATCAATTTTGATCAACACAGAATTTATTAGGGCTTTCCTGTTCTTAATTTCCTCTCTGCATTCCATCTTTACAGACTGAACGTACAAATGAGTACAGGTGCTTATTCTGCTTGCCACAAACCAGGAGAATATAATGCAGACTTCTGGCTGAAATAACAGAAGAGGATCTTCTGAGGAGTATCTCCTGAGCCCCTCTTACATGATGTGTGTAACAGAGAGTGAACACTAAAAGACATTAGGCCCCTGCAGAACAGAATCACTAAGTGCTTTATCAAGATAGCAGCCACTTAGCTAGGAGAACGCCTAGCTCGCATCCAGAAGGTAACACTTACCCTGTCAAATGGGAGATTCAGCTGCAATTATTACTTTTTAGGAAAATAATTCACACTGGTCAAATACATTTGTGAAACTGTTACATGTCACTAGAAAGGTTGAAGACTTCATTAAAATATAAGAAATGAAACTACCACTTGCTAAGAACAATACAATAGAGATGTAATGGGAAATTCAATGCATGACAGACAACTTTACTCTCTGTATTATCCTCAGCATCTGTGTTTCCCCCTGCGCTACAAGAATGTGATGCAAAAAGGACTGGAGGATATGAACAGAGATGTGGAAAAAAGGTGCTTTTCATGGCATAGTTCTTTCAAATTTGGGGGTATGAGCATATGGCATAGTTTGGGAGCCAGTGTATCACTTCAGCCACAGGTGAAGTGGAAGAGGAACATTATGTGAGGTGCTGATGGCACCGTGAAGAACACAGAGCAGTCACGTAGCCAGAGGACGTCAAATGTGACGTTTAGAGCTACACTGCTTGGCATTCCTAGATGATACCCAGGAAAACCTTTACTTTTCTAAATGAATCTTATCCTTGGTGGATGCATGGTCTGAGTCGCACAGAAGAAAAAGAATTTTTTTTAAAAAGTGCAGAAGGGAAAAAAAGGCAACACTGCAAAACATTTATCAGCCCTGAATCTAGTGAGCCTTTATGATCTCCATCAAGACAATAGAAGCTTTCAGGTTCACGTGGCTCTCCATCAGAGTGCTTGGGTGTGAAGAAGCACATCTCCTTAAGGACTTGTCACGTCTGTCATGCTAATACAAGATACTGTTCTGAGAAGACAAACAAATAGGCTTCAAGAGACCAATGCTTTCACTGGAGAGGTTTCTACATGTCGTTTTAGATGCTAAATGGACAAATTTTGACTGAACAGAATCTGAAAACAAATAGCAGAGTCTGATCATCTTTGCACAGCTATTCTCAATCACAACACGAAACTGAGTCCCATCACTCAGTGAATTGTTTCAGAGAATAAATTCTTTACTTGGACAACAAAACTCAATTTAATCTAGCAGTTGTAATTTAATCTGTTTGAAGTAAATTGCTTTAAGTAATTTGCAATGGAAAAGAACGATCAGAACAGTGTTTCAAAACTGTCGTCACCAAAGGAATCAAATTCATCTTGCTTTATTCTTGTTATATCCAGTGAACTTATCAGAGAGGAATTTGGTCAAGCTGAATACTTTCTTCTTATGTTATTTTTTTGCCAGGCAACAGTTCACTTTGCTAATGAATTAAATCATTAGTTGCACAGCAGTCAACATTTATAGAGGGAAAAAAGTGACATAAATTGACCTGCCTTTGACACATTCATCCTATGCTGCATGAATCAGGATAAACACAGGAAATATCTGCACAATGTGCATTGTTAAGCTGCAGATGTGTTTATAAACTATTTATACGCAGAATTCATTTCCCATTTTTCAGCTTAAATATGATGTGCTTGGTAATAGTCACACAAAACCACTGGTGATCAGGAGATGGCAAAGTCATTAGGAAACTTTCTTCCATTCCCTTTCCCTGATCTCTCATACTTTTAAATATAATATATTCCATTACAGAGTCTGATACAGCATCCTCTTTCTGTGATTGCTAATCAGAATGAGAAATCAAACTTATACTAATAAAAACATTTAAACATTGTTCAGTTTTAATGCTGAAACATGAATGCATTAGTCAGTTCTCATGAGAGAAATGATTTAAGAAAATAAGTCTGCTCCCTGGAGACATCTGACAGCAGATTGGATAAAGCACAGAAGAACTTACGGTAGGGAACAAAAAATCAGCAATGGAATACTGGGCAACCTAATAGGTTTCTTTCATCCCTAATTTAAAAACGAAGCTTATACAGACTGTTCTCATATTTATGTCTGTTTGAAGTCTGCAAATATATCCAGCAGCTGGTGGTTTTTCTAGGTTTCCACTTTTCAGATTTTTCATATGCACTACATAATGCAAGAGAACCTATTTCAAATGTAATGTTGAAGTTGTTATGTTTCTGTATCACCTCCCAAATAAGATCCTACAGATTTCTTTCCTACCCAAATTCCTACTTCAGTGTAACCATCTTACTTTCCTGACGTTCCCATCTGATTCTACAACTCCTCCTTTCCAGACATGGGTGCATTTTTTCTGATCTCCTTTAATTCCTCTGTTGGTCCCATGATCTGATCTCCCTCCACTCCTCTCTTACTTAAATTTTCATTCTCTTCTCACTCGCCTTCCTTCACCTTCAAAACATGACAACCTTTAGTCCCTCTCTTCAAAACCCTCACTCTTCATTCCCTCACAATTCCCTCTCTTGCCTCCCAGGCTGACTCACCGCTGACCGCAGTCAGTTCAACTTTTCCTCCCGTGCCTCTTTCATCTATCTTCCACCAGTTTATTCTATTGGAGCTGCCCTTTACAGGCTTTAACGACTCATGTCTAGCCAAAATTCAAATCCAGTATTCTGTTCTCATCCATCACGATTTCAGTTCACTTAATCACAACTAATCATGTTCCTCTCCTGTTCCCTCATGAATTCCATGAATCTGTCTACTCCCCTAATTTTCAAGCTATCTTCTGGTCTGTTTATCATAGGATCCTTTCTCCCTGTCCCAAACTTTCTCTGGGTTTCTAAAGACTCCAGTTTTGATTCTAACCATTTTAATGCAAAGTGTAGCACGTTTTTTAGTCCGAATCCATAGGGAACAACACGTTTCTTATGAAACAGAAGTATAATTAGAAATTACATATGTAAGTCACGTAAGGAAACAGAATGTCCGAGTACAAGCACCTGAACAGTAGTGGAAAAGATCACTAATATTCAGTTATATGGCAAAAATAAAGAGCTATTGTTTCACTAGTTGTTGTTCAAAAGGAGGAAGAAATGATGTCACAGTGGAAAATTATCTTCTGACATAAGTTTGCTTTCCCCAACAGCAGGACATCTCTATACATAGCAACAAAACCCACTTAGTCTCTTTTTGATAAGATGTGCTCATTTTTATGAAGTTTCTATGCATCAGAAAATAATTGGTTTTATTAGTTTACTATAAAGCAACAAAGAGATCCATAAAAAATCGATTTTCAGACCAGATACTTTCTAATCTATACACCACCAAAGCTCTGCAAAATAGACGATGTAACCTTAGATTTGTACTTAGTTTGAAACCAAAGTATTTCTAAGAATTATCTTATTTTTCCATCAAGTGCTGCTTTAGTGCCTTCAGAAACGTGTAACATCTATCAAGGATTATATTTTAAGCCAGCTGTAAGGCATGCCTTTTTCCTGTTAAAGGACATGTGCTTTCTTTTAAAAAAAAACACAAAACCAAATCAATATATATTATTCATCACACTTTTAATCAAATTTATGTTCAACCTGTTCTTGGCTAGATAATGCAAATGTGATGGCAGGAACGATGTACGAAGATGTAACACCATAACGACACGTAAATGAACCGTTTTCCTGTTTTGCCTGATTATAAATACATATTCCGCCAGATTATAAATACATATACACACATCTGTAAATCAAGTAGTTTATTGACACACACAAACCTTATGAAGACTGAGCAAAACCCAAAATAACTTGCTGTTATTAAATGTACAGATTTAGATCTGAAATGAGAGTCTGGGGTGTCCACTCAAGCATGGTAAGCTTTCTGTATTTTTGGCTGTGCCAGGCATATATAGGTCAGTGGCAAATAGCACACGGGTATTTTTTACAAATTGTTTCATAAGTCCGTTCTCCTATAGCACGTGCCTGTAACAGGAGGCCAATATCAGTAGTTGGAGAGAAGTCAGATCAAGACCCAAGATGAATAACAACCCACTAGTAACACAGAGTCCTCCTCACTATGCTATCATTTTAATCTATAACAATTTAATATACAACCCCAAAAGTACAAACCATGTTCCTCAGATGTGCAACATGTGCAAAAAAGGAGATATTTGCATTGTCATATTAACTGCCCATTATACTATGAAGCTGCAAGTAAGAGGGTGCTCAGCTGCAGGCATAAAAATATAGAGAAGTTCTATATTGGAAAGTGTGGATGACAGACAGAAAGTAGGAAAGAAGTAGGAAAAACCCTATTTCCACAGCTGGAGAAAATAGCAAAAATGATGGAAAACCTCACAATTCCCAGGACCTAATCTTTTCCTAGTGGTCTGTGAGTTAGGCTATGGTGATACGGTAAGCTTTATTTCGCACAAGTTCCAATATTTATTTAAGCATTCCCTATATACAATAAAGAATGAATCCCTAGATATGTTTATGCATACAGACAATGCAAACAAATTTACAAAAATATATGTATCCAACAATTTTATAAGCTTATTAATGCTGAATACCAATGTTTTCCAATTAAATGAAATTTACATAGAATGTTAAAAATCTGAAATACACAATGCACCTCTATTAGGATGCTAGCCCGCAAAAATAATTGAATAATTAAGTAAAATTCAAAGTCTTTATGTCTCTTTCAAATGAGTGATGCGTACTAATCTGTTTCTCTAAAATATCAGACTCTTTAGGCTATATACAACTGTATACTTTATGGAGAACTTGTGAATTAGAGATGATCATAATGATTAAGTGTGTGCAGTACGTAATCTGGTCTGAATTACTGGAGAAAACAACATTCAAGATCAAAACAACTCATGATATGTTATTTCATATTCTTGTGGTTGGTTTTCTTGCAGAAGATCAAATAAACAAATACAGCCTGTAAAATAAAAGAATGTAACTTCCTGCCAATGATTTGAACTGAAAACTAAAAACTAACCTCAAAACACTTTTCCTTCTCGGCTCGATGCAGAAGTTCAGCGATTCCAGGTAAAAGTACTGGAAAGATGTAATACTCTAAGTATTCTTGAGGAGAACCTGAGCAAAACAGTACAACCTTCACTTACAGGTAAGCACTTAGATTTCACAAAAACACAAATATCAGGTATCATAATCTAAGTATCAGTTATTTTATCAGCACCAGCACAGATTGAACTAAACCAATTCATTTAGTTCAGATACAGCCACGGATTTGTCTTCCCCTCTCTTGCTTAGACAACATAAACTCAGTAAATTTCAGACTAAAGGTGCATCAACACTGCAAACCACAGCGTGCTTCAGAGATGTCAGACTTAGTTTTAAATGAGTAAACTCAGACAAAAAGAAACAGTTTAGCCATAGAAATGAAAAACAATGTGAACTAATTTACCCTGACCGAAAGAAAAGCAGATGAGCTTGTGCTGAACTCAGTGCTGTTGCAGCTTTTGGTACCTATACCCACGCCCTTTATAATCTGCAGTAACCGAGCTGGTCATAAAACTGAATTTCTAGACAGAGGAAAAAACAAAGGTTATATTTCAGCAGTGCTGTGATTTCTTTCTCTTAATTACTTCCTATTTGCCAGATCCTTCAGAAATTTGAACATGACTCCATATACCAAATTTTTGCACCTTGGGAGGGCTGTCTGGGTTGGCATCTCTCTCTTCCGTTGGACTGCACTGCCCTTGCATGAGGTCTACTTACCACACTTCCCAGGCGCTCACACGCATGGGCATCACTGAGTTCCGTGCAGAAGAAAGCAGCTGCAGTCATCGTGTTCTATGTGTGAGTCTAATGTCTACGCGCTTGCTCAGTCAAGAGGCTTGAGCTTTGCTTCCTTCTCAGCTTTCCCCAACATCTCACTCTTCCCTACATCTCACTCTTCCCTAATGGGACCTTTTGCCATAAACTTATAAACTGGGTGAAGTGGGGAAGCCTTCTGCCCCTTCTGATGAAGACGTTGCACACGGAGGAACTTAAGTTCGCCGGGCCAGAGGGAAAAGGGAGGTGTAAGAGAAGTTCCCTCAAGAAGGTGAACAAAACAAAACCTGTTAGGATCTGAGACAAGCAAGGGTGGCTTATTGGTGGAGGTTCTGTCCTTGATTTAAAGACAGATGGCCTGCCGTTCGGTAAGTTCTCATGTTTTGGTAACGTTAAGGTAAGTTTTCAGGTTTCAGCAGTAACAATTAAGTCACAGAAGTGTTCTCTTCTGGTAACACAATAGAAACACTGAATTTATTCTCAGTTTTACACCATTAATTGGTTCATATGCTGCTGGACAATGTTCATAACTGGAAGGATACTATATAATATATATACATCTCTGTGTGTGTATATGTATGTGTATACACACACACATATATATAAAGACCAAGAGTAACACTGCTTCTTACCAGTAACAGGAATTCCTAATGAGCAAGAATGAATAGAAGATAAGCAAAGACAAAAATGAGAGCTAAAATGCATAATAAAAATACACCACTACTTGCTAAATTACAGAAATTGACAAAAATGGAAGGACAAAACTTCAGAGCTGTTTCCGTTCTAATTTGTAGTCAGCTGGGCAAATATAGTATTTTGAAAGCAGTTTTCAAACTCGATTGTCTGTTTAGCCTATTGATCCTAGTTTTGGGTTATTAAATTAGAGGAAGAAATGTTTGCCTTTCCCTGATTTAAGTGGCTAAATAAAAGGTCAGTTATTCAGGAGAACTACTTTAACAGCCAGCCAATGCCACTGATTTGTAATGCACCGTTTGGGCTTTCTCCCACTGCCCGAGGGCCAAGCTAGCTTCCTGTTTGCAGACCGGGGGACTAGTTATGCAAACTCCACTTAAGAACAAGCATTGTAGCTGTTAACACTTTCAACAAATGACACACCCTTGCCAGATGCAAGAAAAATAATCACAACAGGGTTCTAAATAATATATCCTACTTACATGTTTTTGGATCAGGTGGTTCTGGAAAGGGGGCTGCCTCGGGTATGGGAAGCGACTGTTGGGAAGCAGCATCAGCTACAGGAGCTGAATACAATTGTTCCGTACATAATGGCTGCAATATTCCTGCTTCCAAAGACACCTGCTCAAGGTAAATATAACCTATATAAATACTCTGATCAGACTGTAAAAGAGAAGTCAATTCAACAGGAAAAATTATAAGGTCAGTGAAAAAAAGGTAACTCTGTACGTGATGCCCAAATTAATTCTAGAAGTGCTGGGGACACAGATCTGAAGTGGTTTGTCTTCTTAAGTTTTTCTGCCTGCCACACAAGTCTACCTATACCGAATTTATTTGGACAAAAATAGATTTCCATCAACTTTGATCAGGATTAATTCCCCTAATTCCACTGGCCACATCTAAGTGACTTATGTCATACGTGAAATTGGGGTGTAACTCCCTGACTGCGCTTGCTCCCCTCTCCTGTGTATTTCAGCGCTCAGCCTGCTTGCAGCTCCACCCTGCCTGCGAAGCAGACAGTCGCAGAAAAAAGACTGCAAGATGTACAAACCAAACACAGCTGGTAATCTAATTTTAGGAGAGCGCTACCCAAGTTGCTTTAAATAACAGCAATGATTTGCATTTGTTGATTCAGAGAAGTTGTTAGCAAAGTGTAGTTTTGTTTTCATTTTATGAATGAGTCCACACTGCGGGTACCTAATTTTCCCATTTAGTTATTTCAAATCTTTTAAAACCAGCCCGATGCAGATTTTTTACTTGAACTATACTCACAGATGCATGGTTTGAATTGGGAACATCTGGAAATTGAGGCTGTTCTGCTTCATACTCTAAAAGTAAAAAAGAAATATAATATTTATCCTAGAAGGCTTTAAAAACACGTTTATTTTTCCCCTAAACAAACTTTACTTTCTTAAGGTACTTGTTCTGGTTTGAAACAACAAAAATCAGTATGCAACAAATATTTACCATGAAATATAATGTTATAGAACAAATCTGAACTTTAGAGTTTTGGCTTGAAGGTCAAGGTTCTCAGCGATAAAAGAACCCTTATTGGGAAAAAGATTTTTAACCAATGCTTATTTAACCAATAATAATTTAAAATATAAGGGAAATGCAGATGCTTGCACAGAATTAGCCATTATTTCAGGAGTAAATTCTTACAGCCAAACACAGCAGGTTTGCCCTTTTCTACCACCACAATTAGGAAGAATTACAATTAGGAAATTTACTGGCATCACTACTTCCACGTGTAGCTGTTGAGCACAGCAGTACGGATGCCTCAGCTGAGTAACACTAGAATAAGTAACTCTAACCCTACATCAAAAATGGGCAAATACCAGCTTCCAGGCGTTATAAAGCAGCAGGTGAGGAGAAGCCCCTCTGGG